TTATCGTTTACACCCTGTATATATTTAGAGATTCGTAGTTCGATTTAAGGCTGTATATACAGTAACGTGTTATACATTGATCAAAGTTACTGTTCGAATGGAATAGATAAACGAAACTAAGGAGCTCGTTGAATCGATACCAAATTAATACAGAATATCAAACAATCCTTTTACTATGTGACAAATCATATACTAAGTGTACTAATTTGATTGTAATTAAAAGACCGCTATTTTTAATATATATATTTAGAGATTCGGAGTTCGATTTAACTCTGTATATACAGTAACGTGTTATACATTGATCAAAGTTACTGTTCGAATGGAATAGATAAACGAAACTAAGGAGCTCGTTGAATCGATACCAAATTAATACAGAATATCAAACAATCCTTTTACTAGGTAACAAATCATATACTAAGTGTACTAATTTGATTGTAATTAAAAGACCGCTATTTTTAATATATATAATTTCATAGTGTAGATATTTAAAAGGCTGTTTCCATGTTAGGTCTACCGAATATCGAGGCCTAAATGATATTTGGCAGGACGAAGCTTCGTGGTTTCTCGTCGATGGCGAGCGTGGAGTGTCGGTCGCAGAGTTAGCCGGCTACGTAATATCCAGTTTGGCGAATTAGTGCCTTTTGTTCGTCGTCGAATTTCGTCCGTGCCTTCGTTCCTTAATTGCGCGCTGGTCCATTTCTGCCCGCGCGACAAGGGACGGAGGAAAGGCGACGAAATTGCTTCTTTTTTTTTTGTGCCAGCATAATCTTGTTGCGAGCCGGGGTCTCGTGCCGGCTAAATCGTTCACCGTGAGCCCGGGAAAATACGCGACGGTATTAGATAGTCTAAAATTTCCTCGACTTTTCCTCCACCGTTCTCTCGCCTCGTTCGACTATCTTGGCCCGGTAACGACACCGTTCGAGATTCTCTTGTCGCCGAAACGCGTCTTGGGGGGTTTCTCTACTTCGCAGATAAAAAACAATTGATTCTCTTCTTTCCACGCCTCCTCGCGGGCTTCGAATCCCGGTGAGATTGGGCCCGAAGGATTTCCAGCGAAATGAATTCTCCTTCACTCTATCCGAAAACTTTATATTTTAATAAAGTCACAGGGCTTTGAATCGAACTCCAGAGATTATAACTTGATTCGTAGATCAGTTTGGAGGTACAGAATTATGTTTTTTTCTGAATGTTTCAAATATATTTTTGAGTTGTTGAAATGTTTACCAAAGCTTTTTTACCCAGTACAGTGTATCATATGTACCATATACCATAGAAATATTGAATGGTTTGTTTTGAACATTCTGTATATTCGAGAAATCAAGATGGCGATTTTGTTCGATAGTAGCAAGTACGTGGGTGGACTACAGTGGGAACCAAAGGGTCGAACGGGTGAAAAATCGATGTGGGTCTCGGTCGCGCGTCGAGAGAAAAGTTGCGCGAAATTAAAGTCCGCGTTTCACGGACGCGAGCTAAGCCCGACGACTCGAAACGCGCCGCGAAACAAGAGTCGTCCCCTTGAAAGAGCGCTCTCGTTACCCAGCTCTTTTGCACTCGGAATTCTACAAAAGCGCAAGTGCCCGACAAGTGTTTACCCGCGTTCCACGTTTTCTAGTGTCTGCCTTTCTCATTAGGCATCGAGTTCTCCCTTTTTTCCACTCCTCTCTCCACTGCTCCCTGCCTCTTCTTCGTTAATAGAATAATCCCCAAATGTGGCCATTTTTTGCTCTCGCGCCTTTCCATTTTAATTCCGAAGAACTAGTTGGAGTCTAAATTATCTCTTATTATCAATATTAATTGTGTTGTTATAACGATAGGAGTGCAGTAGCGAGTTCGAGTTTGTTGAAAGTTGCTCAATTTAAATCCCGTTAATAGTTGATCGTAAAATTTGTTCGAGAAGTCAAATATAACTTGGCCCGTGGCTGGCTAACGCTATAACTTTCAAGTATCGATTGAATTGTACCCATGAATAAAAATTCAGAGACGATGAATCCATCGATCCTGTTGACCAAGTTATTAACTCTGCCACGGCCCGGTGCACGACGGATTTTCCAAGTTTGTTTTCATCGACGACAAAGGCTCGTTTCCGAAAGCTTTGTCCTGTACTTTCCGAAAACTAAAAAATAAGAATATTCTGCTTCCAGTGTTTTGTTAAATTATCAGAACCGAATAGAACATCGTGGAGATTAAAAATTACTGTCTCTGTATTTTTGAAAGAATAATATAGAATTCAGAGACAGAGAGAAAAATCGTAGGTAAAATTCAACGAGCGCTCGAAGTTGTTAAAAGGAATCGCGTGGTAGGGGATGTGTTATAGTAATATGTAAAGCCAGTAGGTGAAAGAACCGTGGTATTCGCATGTACGATAAATAGGAACGGATAGATCATTGTCGCGCGCGATGAAAAAGAATTCATCGTGGCCGGTAATTATGGTTTCTATGGAGAAGTTCGCGTAAATACGAACGTATCGCGAAGGGGGAGGATGAAACTCGTATCTTCGTTTCGTATTTAAACAACGGAACGGTTCAAACAGATGCGTAACACGATCGTATTTAGCGTACCTCTGGCAGACATTTTTCTTTAGTTAGGAGTTTTTCAGTCAGACGAGGATAATAAATAACGCCAGGCGTAATCAAACATTGAGATTCATAGAGTAGAAGAAGCTTTCGACGAAGAGATAAGAAATACGAGAACGAACGTAACAAGGAACCCTAAGCTTAATAATAACGAGAGGTTGAAAATTCTAGTCCATCGAAATTCCAAGATTCATAAAGTTATTTACTACCATTGAACTAATAGCGCTGTCAGAATTAACGAGAATAGAGTCCGGAGTAAGTAATAGACCAATCTGTGTGCAATGCGTTTTATGAACATAACTTTCCACACTTTGAATGCTACGAGCTCCCTGAAGAGGATCGTATCAAAGTTTTGCGCTGCATTGACACGTAATGCCGAGAATTTTGATCGTCCAGACACCTGCAAACATTTGCATAAGATTTTTGTCACCCTAAAGGGAATACTGTGGCGATAGTTTCGGTGCTCGCCGTCAGAGGGCTACGCTCAACCTTTCTCTCTCACAAGTGCTCATTTACGATACTCTGAATTCGATGGTACGCGATCACCGGTGAGATAAAGTAAACGATTCACGCGTGAAGTCGTTGGTAACTTTCGATGAGACTTTGTGTTCCACGGAGGAACGAGATTTCGTTTGGCGAGCAACGAGAACCTCGCGAGCCAATATCCACGAGGCTGCGGTTTCCGGGCAGCTTTGACGAAAACCGTTTCCGCTCCGACGACAAGCGGGTACATATAATTCCGGAGACCGCGTCGAAACGGGGGAAAGGTGTCCCCCGGGAGCTCAACTTCGTAATTGCGACGCTAGACGGATTTCCCACTTTCGGCCCCATTATTTTCCAGTCGAATAACCAAACCGCGAACCTGCTAATCCGACCGTGACGCGTCACGAGGAGGTCCGTCGGAGAATAAGACAACTCCGAAGAGGGACGCGTTGTCTTTCGGAGGCTAAGCAGGATTTTCCTGCGAAACTAGGCCGATCTTCCAACGTTCAAGCTCTAAGCTTCGCGTACACCTGCCCTGATCGTGGGAACTAAGGGCCTCAAGACTTTGTTTTCATCATCCTTCGATTCGAAATCTGCTACTCTTTGCACGAGGTTGCTGCAAGTGAAACGCAATTTTAGAAACACATTTTATTTCATTCTTGAATCACTTATTCGGTTAAAAAGGTGTTGAATAGAATTTTTTAGAATCGTGGAAAGAGGCTGGTGTGGCAACGGTCTAATGTGTAAAGGCTCCACCGAACGTAGGACAGTTTTCCCAGCGAATTTCCATCGCGTTCGAACAAAAACAAAAGCCACGCCAACGAGCCACGATAACGATCGCGTCGCGTCGAGGCGAGGTTGACAACAAAAACGGAAAAAGGAAAAGTGCAACCAACGGGAGATCGTAGCGCGATGATTGGCAGCCGGGTACGTAGAATCAATTCGAGAAAAATCAGTTTGATCGTTGGCTCTTTGACGTTCGTACCGACCCGCAGTTTTCCCCGACGTCGAAACAAAATTTAACAAACGATTCTTTGATCGTGGCGCGGGGCACAGTCGTCGACGCCAGTAATTGATCCTTTTCGAACGAAAATAAATATTAAGAAACAGAAAAGTTCGCGTTACAAATTTCTCCTCGCGAAACAGTGGTGCTAAACGAGACTGTGAAATCGATCAGAGGATCGTAATAAAAACACGTAAACTTACGGGATTTGACTAATAAACTTCTCCCCGTTGCATACAATTTTCGAGCACTTGCAGACGCACTGTGTCGCGTAGATTTGGAAAATGGAGGCAACGTTACAATTACGAGCAGTGAACTTTGTTTCGAGACTCCTCCCTTTGACAAGAAATTACTACTATGAGGGCAGAGTTGTCACTGTAATACAAGTTAAATTGCAGACAAATAATACTCATGAGTATTGTAATTTGTACTGGAATCTGAAATACTTTGAATTGATCGGTTCCATAAATCCCAGGTTTAAGAATTAGCAAATTACAGGTGAAAGAGATTTGGTCAAAGTAAATTCCCCCGCAGAAATCGGAATTGTGTTTCTCTTCCACGATCAACCCTCCTCCTTTTGACTAGAAATTATTACTTATGGGGGCAATTTAAATTGCCAAGAAATAATACACACGAGTTGTGTAACTTGCATTGGAATCAGAAACCCTTCGAATTGATCGGTTCCATAAATTTCAGGTTTAAGAATGAGCAAATTACAGGTGAAACAGTTTTGGTAAAAGTAAATTCCCCCGCAGAAATCGGAATCGTGTTTCTTTTCCCAGATGAACCGTCTTCCAGGGTCTATTTTTGACTAATTAGAGACACTCTTGGTAACGAGTCGTACTTAACCAGCACTCGTTCTCTTTGACGAAAGGGGGATACGCTCGCATTAAGGGTGGCGGAGGTGTGATTGTTCCTACTTTGCATAAAGTGCCACTTACCACGACCACTGAATAGAGGATCTTGGCTTTCAGGTCGGGCGCGTCCTTGAGGGCCTCCAGAGCGTCCAGGGCGTCCAGGGTATGCAAATGAGCGTGGCCGTAGAGAGCGGCGTACCTCTCGGCCAGTCGTTCCGCGGTCACGTCCCCGGAAGTTAGACTCGAAAAATTCTGTTCCGGTGGCCGGAGCTCGCGGCTGTTACCGAGGATCGGCTCCGGGGTCGGGCTGCAACTCTCGTCCGTGTGATATCCGGCGCTGCTGCTGGATTCCTCCTCGTAGTCGTTCGCCAGATTCTCCTCCAATTGGAATACCTGCGCGAAAATATGCGATCTCTTGCATTTTCACCGGGCGTTCGCGATTTTTCGAGGGGGATTCGAACCGAGGAACGCGCCCCCGGAGACATACTTCTCTCGTTGTCTGCTTTCGACGTTTCGAGATTCTTCTCCGCCCACCGTTGGGTCAGAACTCTACCTTAACGCCTCATTTTCTCCCTGGCACGCGTATCATTGATATTGGCAGATTGCTCGACGAAAATACTCGATATATAATAACGCATTTGTCGAGAAATTGCTCGCGCAACTTGCTCCAATTTACTCTCTTCCTTTCGGTCCAGTTAGAAAAATTCTCGACCCCCGTCAGGTTGCCTTTTTAATCAACAATTACCAGCGACTTCGATTCTTCCTTTACCGTGTTAAAGAGTTTCCCGGGACCAGGAAACTGTTTGCGCGGCACTCGCGGCCAGGGCAAATCGAATCTTCCGCCCGTTCGACCAGAAATCGACTTACTGACACGAACTTCGAGGATTCTCGCGGCGCTCCCGTCCTTTGGACATTTCCTGGAAATTCCGAAAGGAATCGAACCGCTCGGAACTCTTTCGAGACCGTTGGAAATCGGAGATACTTCTGGGACACGATCTATGGACCCCTCCTCAAACTTTAGTTAAACTTCAAGCTTCGAAATTAAAGTCGCAGTTTCAAAACTAAACAGTTGGCATTTCGCTGGAAACATGTTGAAAATGTCGTGTTGGTGAATTAAACTAGACAAATGAATTGCGTTGAAGAAATCGGAACAGAAACTATGGCGGCCATATTGCTTTCGCTGCTAAATCCGTCGTGTCGACGATTACATTTGAACGCGGATTTTCTTTCAGTTAGAGTATATATAAATTGCTAGCAAATTTCAAAATTGAAGAGTTGTATTACTTCATATTAACGAATTAACCTAAACAAATAACTTTTATTGCGTTGAAAGAGTCGAGACAGGAATTATGGCGGCCATATTGCTTTCGCTACTAAATCCGTCGTGTCGACGATTACATTTGAACGCGGATTTTCTTTCAGTTAGAGTATATATAAATTGCTAGCAAATTTCAAAATTGAAGAGTTGTATTACTTCATATCAATGAATTAACCTAAACAAATGACTTTTATTGCGTTGAAAGAGTCGGGACAGGAATTATGGCGGCCATATTGCTTTCGCTACTAAACTCGCCATATTAACAGTGACACTTAAAAATGCGTGTTTTTTTTCAATTAGAAAATATATCCACATCAAATTCAACATAAATAGCTAGTAACTAATATTTACGATTGTTCTAACTGTTAAAATTAAGCAATTGCGCTCTCCACGCGTCTATTAGTGGAGCGTTTACTCTAATTCGCGTTGCACCGAATATCCGGTGGAACGATTGGACCCGGTTTTTTTCATTAGCGAGGCAAAACAAAGAACGAAACAATTCGGGAGGGGTATCGACGTGATTCCCGGGACACCGTGGACGACCGCAGAGCTTCCGAGCCCGCGTTCGGAATTTTGTAGAACACAGGAAACCGAGCAGCGGTCCCCGGCTAAATATTTATTAATCTCGAACACTGGTCGAACCGTCGCGGCCACGCGGCCATTTCGATCATAGCTACGCGCCGAATGCGTTCGCAAATTGTGTATTAAAATTTGATTAGATACCTCCGACGCGTCACGAACGTACGAGTTTAACGCGACAATTTGTATACATTCGGTCCTCTCGTGTTCAACCATAATCGATAGACAACGCGAGCTCCGCGACGCTCCTCTAAATTCATATCCGCTCGTCTGCAATCGTTTCGGCCTAGTAAATTCGCGGCAAGTCGCGCATTTCGAATTTCTATCGTCCAATCGGTGCCCCGAATTTGTTTCCATATTCGTTCGAAACGTTATCCGATATTTTTGAACGCGAGCCGAGAGCGATGTTTCGTGTAAAACGTTATCGTACCGTCTGGGTATAAATTTTACAATCGCAACAACTATTACACGTTCCATAGACGTTTCAATTTGCCTGTAATTTTATTTTCGAAATGAACGGGCCATGGACAAAAGAGTCAGAGGTTACGCGCCGCTGAATTTTTTCGAATAATATTCCAACTGGAAATGGTCACGAACTTTTGATTATAAAAAATTTTAAAGGACAAAACAGAAAATGTCCACTATCGTTTCCGGTTTGTAAAATCATCCCCCGAGAGAGGTTCGTCGTTTACGAGATTCGAGGCGTAGACAGAGCTACGCGACAGCACGTATGAGGTCCAAATACGGATAGAAAATATCTATTTTGATAATTTAACGTTATTATCCGGCTCAGACTCGCTGTGGCAGCGATTCAACGTCGTACGAGGCGAAAGCTTCGCGATCGATAAGCCTAGTCCGCGTTTTCGAGTTGCAAGGAGCACACGGGGTCGCTACAAGTACGCTTCGTGTAATTTAAGATCACGAAAGGGTCCTTTAGGGATTTCACGTGGTTAGAGACTTTGCTTTCGCGAATCCAGCTTTGTTCATCAGCCGCCTCTCTGCTGAGCCACGATCTCGTGGGACTGCTAGCGGTTACGGCGCCGTATCCTGCTCTCTTGCTAACCATTTTATCTTCCGGCCAACGTTTTTCGCCTTTCTACCTTAACCCCTAGCGCACCAACATCGACATTTTCACCCTTTCGATAACAAAAACCAACTTGTCCTGCGATAATTATCAAAACCTACCCTTCGGCACTAGGTTCACAAACATTGCAACGGGCAATTTTAATCGACATACATTACTCCTCCGCCATTTGTAAGACTCGTTGCAGTCATTGTTTTGTTGTAAGTTGACGCCTGAGAGACGTTCCATTCGAAGGACGATAAAATCGGGGCCATTTCCGTTCGACTACCCGGAAAATGGCGGCCAGATCGTCCGACGAACCTACCTGTGGATCGTCGTGGTGCATCAGCTGCAAAGCCAGGTCGCAGCCCCTGGAGAACTGCAGCAGCCTGGCGGCCAACGGTGGATTCTTCGTGTTTCCGGCGAACGTGGACTTCCTCAAGGCCGTCCATTGTCTAAGAGCTTCCTTGTCCTGCTCGACCCTTCGCTTCAGCTCGGATAACAGACTTTCTAAGGCGGTCGGGTCGCCGGCTTTCTCCAGCGTGTTCAACAGACTCTGATTATCGATCAGCCGTTGCTGAATCTCGCTATACTTGAGCGAAAGTTGCCTCTGGTGCGAGGCCGCCTGCACGCCTTGGTCCGCTGAAAACGAGACGCCATGTTACTTTCGCACGGAGAAATCTACGATTTTGCTTATTTGCTTTCATATATATCCTACAAGCGCGCACGCGGCATTCAATTATCTTGCGATACGCGCTACGAAATCCTGAATCGCGTTAAATTTCGCGCCGATGATTACTCGGCAATTAACCCGAATCGGACGCATTGTGCCGCGGGAATCGTGTTTGCTCGCGCGTTCGACGAAAAAAAGATTCCACGGTGCTTCGAGTTTATACGCGGATTCGTTGGAAAACTGTTCGAAATTTAGATTTTTCATATTTACGATATAAAATGGTAATTAATATTTAGACTCCAGAAAAGGGCAGTTTTCTTTTCGATTTAATCGCAGACTTTTCCAGCTGTTCGACTTGCACGAAAGACTATGAAACGAATATGAATCACAGAAATATTCTCCACTAAAATACGCGTTGTTTGCATTTTTAAACTTTAAAATTGTCCAATCCGTTCAGGAGTTATGATTTTTTATGTATAAGAATGTTGACCATACATTATGTTTTCGGTAAAGAATTTTTTTCTCGAAAGTGGGTAGGATTTTGGAGGTATGCCTATTCACCAAAAATACTTGTAATTGACCCCTGGAACTAAAAATAATTTTTTTAGAATGATTTGAAACTTTTCAATTTCGCCGAAAAATTTCAGCAGCAACCCCCGTCGATTTTTCTTAAGAATTCGTTTTTCATTTTTAGTAATTTTGTTCAACATTGTACAGAAAAGTTGTCTAATACTTTTCTGTACGTAGCCATGAACTTTACTTCCCCCCAAAATTTCATTGAAATATATTCACTATTGTGGGAGTTATGGTCGTTTGAAAACTGGACCACTTTTATGGAGTTTTCCTTATTTTACGGGCCTAAGGACCAACTTTTCAAACATTCTTCGAATGTCTACATATTCTCCATTCAAATACGCGTTGTTTGCATTTTGAAACTTTAAAATCGTCCAATCTGTTCAGAAGTTATGATGTTTTAAAGATACGCAGGAAATTTCAAAGAACCTCACATTAGATTTTCGGTAATGAATTTTTCTCTCGAAAGTCGGTAGGATTTCGGGGGTATTTGTATTCACCAAAAATGATCGTAATTGGCCCCCGCAACAGACAATAATTTTTTCAGAGTGATTTGAAACTTTTCAATTTCGCCGAAAAATTTCACACCTACTCGAATTTTTTTCTCGTAAGTGGGTAGGAATTCGAGGGTATGTCTATTCACCAAAAATGCTTGCAATTGACCCCTGAAACTAAAAATAATTTTTTTAGAACGATTTGAAATTTTTTAATTTTGTCGAAAAATTTCAGCAGCTTAGCTCTCGCCGATTTTTTTTTTAAATTTTTTCTTGTCCAGGCGGGAGTGATCCTCTTATTTCGAAATCGCGGCCCTCCTATTTGTGCTCTTGTATGTTTTGAAACGACGCAATTTATCGCCGTGCAAAGGTCGAAAACGTGGTCGAGAGGGTTTCGCCATTTTGACGAGCACGACGAACGATGGTCGCGTATGTAAACGCATTAGCTTCCACCGCATCGTGCCGGCTTATTTGCATCCGGAAATGTAACGCGTCCGTTGCAGCTGTGTTAAAGTCCAATACTTCACGGTTCTATGGCACCGTGCTTGCGAGAACGTTGACCGTGACACGCTCTTGTCCTTACAACGACCAATCTAATGATTCGTGTACAGTCTATCCCCCTTACAACACGGTGATTACGTCTCTAAAAGACGTTGTACAGGATCAAGTATCGGTACGGAGTTTCTCCGAGAAGCGAAAGTAGATACAAACGTGCGATAAAACTACTATTTTGTTCTGGTAATTATAGTGGAGCTGTTTTCCATTTGGTGACGATTTGGTAGAATTTTCGATCCTATAACGTTTTATACATTTCACCGTTATTTGTTACTTTCCGCAGAGTTATCGATATCGAAAGTAAAATCGACGCGTAAATATTAATAAAAAATTTCTGCGTTCACGCGCGACGGAGCACGACCAAAATTCCGAATAAATACAATTTTATTTCGTGTACAATTGTGATGTGAAAAATAACGTGTAAACAACGTTTTATTTTAAAATCGAAATCTTGTTTGTTGAATCTTTTATAGTTTGCTAGCTGTACTAGAAAATTTTAGGTTTTCACGATACATTATCAGACGATGCTCAAAGAGAATCGCGTTGTAAAATGGCTTTATAACTTCGGCTCGATTACAATTAAAAATTTAACAATTATTTAAAATTCTGACGTAACATGATAAAATCCAATTCAAGGTTTTTAACCACGGAATATAAAACTGCCGAGAACAGAGAAGCCAGTAATTTTATACGTAAAGTAGAAAATCGTTATCGTTTTTAGAGATCGCGTGCAGCGAGTATTTTATTAAAACGTTGCCACGCATCGCTGATCGTTCGTATTAAATTACTACATTTTACGATATGATTAAATTACGTATAAATAAACAATTCAAATACGGATAAACGAACGTATTTTGGCAAATACCCTAGGCGAAACAAATATCCAAACGAACGCGTATAATTGAAATAATTGGCAACGAATGGGTTTCGATTATCCTCGATTCGAATAAAATTTGTTTGACGAACCTCGAACTGAGATATCAATCGTCTGTCGGGGTTCGATCGCGGATGGATCGATTTCTACGATCCTCGGAATCGGATCAACGTCTTTGCCCGCGAGAGCGGATTCCCGCGGTCGCGATAAGTGGAACTCGGTCCGTAAGTAATGCAACCGAACGCACGGTGTGTCATTTCAGATCCCAAATGACAGTAATCGAATCGAGTGCGGCGCATAAACTTTCAGACTTTCTCCCGCGCGTTCGTCCATATCTCTATCGCCTCCTCCGTCGAACGTCGTCCGCGCCAGGATTCTCGTTTCCATGCAGATCTCTCGCCCTCGAACTCATTCGTGTCAAGAATACGACAGCAAACAGGAAATCGATTTCTTTTATAAAACATGGATGCAGCTAATATGTAACTAAACAACAGAGTACGGGGAAATAATCTTTACTTTGATCTGGAAGGCTAAGATCCAGAGAGCCCTTGTAGTCTACTTTACAGATAATAGTCAGCAATTTCCGGAACAGACCCTCGACAATTAGGGATTAGTGTACTCATAGGGAAACGACAAGCACACAGATACGGAACGTCCGTGTTCCTAATGAACGCTACCTTTGTGTGTCCTGGCGTGCTTCCCAAAGCTCTCGATCTTGTGCACGGCGAGCTTGTACGCGTCGATCCTGTTCTCCAGGTGGTCCTTGAGCGCTACCGGCAAAGGAAGCAAATTCGAGGCGCCTCCGCTCTCCAAATTGCTGGTCTGAACAGAGGGGACCAGTCCGTGTTTGCCCAGTCCCTCCACGGCCCTCTCCAGAGCCTTTTTCCTACCTATTAGCGTGTTCCTAGCGTTCGGGGCCAATCTGCTCAACGACGCCAGCAGCTTGCACCAGATTCGCAAACGGAAGTGATCCTGGCTGATCGAGATCAGATGCACCACCCTCCAGAGTACCTGTTCCACGCGCAGGATCTTCGTGTCGTTGACGTTCAGCTCGAGGAGCCTCGTGTAGAGTGCCTCCAGCAGCGACAGACTGTGCGGAAGCGTCTCGATCAACAGGTCCACGGGAATGTCCGGCAGAGTGGCCTTCAGGGTATAGTGTGGCAGCTTCATCAGGAAACCGGCTGCCTCTCGATACTGCCTTCCCTCGTACAGTCTCAGCAATCTGTCGACAAAATATTCTTAGCGTTTTATTTGCAATTCACCGCCAATACGTTTCGTTTCGATGTCGAGATATAATTGTGTACTTCTGCGCCCCTAAAAGCTGGGTGTTTCTACTTTATACGAGGGTGACAGTGACGAAGGAATAGCAAACAAATTTACCTCATACATTGGTGGAACACTGTTCTATGTCATCAACAAACGTTGTCAAACAAAGATAGATGTACTCGTTGGACAGAGAAGTTTGTTCACGTGTCTTAAAATGTGTCATAGTTGTGCACCCCTAAACTGACTCTTTTCTGTGTTTTATAAGCGTTGCAAACGTGGAATTATCGAATAGTACACAATTTATATTTCGTTGACGCATGTTTTATCGTAACGGATGCTCGCAGAATCAGTTAGCGTTGCATCTGGTCGGACCCGCGGGACCTAATGAACCTGTTCCGTGGTCTAACCGATCAATATAACCATAATCGTAGCGGGTTCCGACAGGTGCAATAACCCGTCCCGACCGCGGAGCAAATTATCGCGGTGCTCTCGCGAGTCACACGCACGAGCCGACAAATTCCGCGAACAATTTCGTTCCCTCGATTCGCCACGGTCCAGCGGACGCTGGCTTTCGTCCGTATCTAACGCTCCGAACAGCCTGACGCATCGATTACGCGCGTGCCAAGGGCCCCCGTTACCGATAACCGATTATCTTTCACCTTTTGTTGACAACCACCGACGCGAACGATTTCATTCGAAATTATTGCTCGCGAATATTCGGGCCTCGAGTATGGAATTATCTTGAAACGTTCGCATCGCGGAACAGATGCCAAGATCTCCCACCTAGATTTCAAACGTCACTAACAGATACCGTGTTCCGTGCCTCGGCTCTCGACTGTTTCTGCTTTACAAGCGTTTGGAAATTGGAGCTATTGAACCCCCTTCCCGACGATCCACGAATTCGGTGACGCCTCGAACTCGATTGGATCGACGAACAAAAAGGACGACGGCTTCTCCGAGACAAAACGCACGCAGGTAGTTCGTAGCTACATAATTACGGGGTAACGGTTCGCGAGATCGTATTGTTTCGCGAGTCGAGCGACGCACAAAGGTGCATACGTTGAAATTACTGCGCGAGTTCGAATTATACCTCACGACCGTCTTGACTGCGGAACAATACCGCGGAATTTTCCGACTTCAAATAAACTGCTCTCCCGCCACAATGACCGTCGTTTCGGGACGCGTGCAATATTCACATGGCGGAGACTGATGAAACAACGAATCGACGGAAACGCTTCGAAATCCTCCTTCGAACCCACGCTGATTACAAGAGTTATAACCAGACCGCGGATGTTTATGCATTCTTGGGAAATTTGAATCCTCAAAAAACTACAGAATGCATTTAATATGCAAAAATATAAGAAATACTTGCAGTAAGATACGAATTATTATATTTAGGGATTGAGTCCGTTCTATAATTCTATTAATAAAAATGTGAATTTGCATAAAGATCCGCAGTCTAATCATAACAATATCTAAATGTTATAATATACATACATTATACATTAGCACTTTGTCGACAAAATGAATATTAAGTAATATTCTAACTAGTCACGATGAAATTGTAGTGCTTGGAAAGCGGTGAGCGGTTTAAAGTGGAGTTTCTGTGGGTCAAAGTGGACCCGGGGTTCGCGGGTCGAGGATTAATTCGCGTCGACGTACCTTCTGAGGGCCATTCGTGGGTTCGAGCCCTCGTCCTCGGGCAAGCCGATTTGGCCAACTAGAAATTGAGATCCGGGACCCCATACGAGCCTCTGGATGGGGTTCCTGGGTCGTTCCGGTCTTATCCTCTCGCACGAGTTCAGCCCAGCCGGTGGCGCGGTACGTCTGCTCATCTCGGCCTCTTCTACTTATTCCTCCTGATCGTTCCTATCTCTTCGTATCTCTTCTCCTCTCCAGCAGCCTGGAAATCGCCCTTGCACGATGATATCTCTCTCACGACTCCCCCCCACCCGGACCTATTCAATTCATCCGCGTTTTCCGATCGACCTTTTCTTCACCGCGACAGTTTCCAGCGATCTCTCGACCTCGACCTCGACTTCGACCTCGATATCTCGATCACTCTCACATTGCTCGATCCGTTAACCTGCTGCGGAGTCCTTTTTCTTCGCGATTCCTTCCTTCTAATAGCTAATCTGGTAGACTCTTTACGAACGCCGGTTCATTCACGACCGGAACGAATGACTCATCTTCCTCGACGAACAGCCCTGCGCTTTCTTTTCCAAAGATCCTCCTCGCCCTTTCTCTCTCGTCAGCACCGGTTCCCCTCTTTACGGTCCGAAACTCGGGTTGGCCTATAGCCTCGGGACTGACCGGCCCACTTCTCCTCCAAAGGACATGGACCTGCGAACCGAATAATTTAGGTGAGCCGTTTCCTTCCCTGGCCGGTGGTCCCGTCAAAACATTTCTCGCCGCCTCGACAGACGATTTTTCCTCGATTTCGTAGCCCTCCCCCCCTCATCCGCCGTTCTATTTACTTCCATTAATACGTACACTCTCACTCGTATTCTTTTTTTTACATATTAATGCCCAATTACAAAATCGATACACAGGTATAATATAAACACGGTATAATATCAATAATACGGCCACGGTCATAATAATCGAATACGAGTGGGAGTGACTGTACATATTACAACCCATCGAACTAATTTTATTTTAATAATGATTATAACCTTCCACCATTTATTTTACTAGCATCGAAGAGAGCTGAAATTACAGTCCCAACGATTTTACAAAGTTTTACGGCCACGACCATAATAATCACTATTATAATGTACGAATACGAGTGGGAGTAACTGTACATACCATCGAACTAATTTTATTTTAATAATGATTTTAACCTTCCACCATTTATTTTACTCGTATCGAAGAGAATTGAAATTACAGTCCCAACAATTTTGCAATGTTTTACGGCCACGACCATAATAATCACTATTATAATGTACGAATACGAGTGGGAGTAACTGTACATACCATCGAACTAATTTTATTTTAATAATGATTTTAACCTTCCACCATTTATTTTACTCGCATCGAAGAGAGCTGAAATTACAGTCCCAACAATTTTGCAATGTTTTACCCATCGTAGGGCCCATTGACAAGCAGAATTTACTCGAGTCGTCGAAACGTACCGTTCCAGAACAGCCTGACGATCTCTGAGACGCACACGCGATCAGTTCCCCGACTACGAGCGTCGATAAGATCGAAAGTAGTCGCGAGGCAAAGTTCGCTTCTTCGAGCAGCGGACGTCGATGCACCAACGGTCACAGGTTCGGATCGACGACACTGATACTCTCTCAGACGATTCTGCGACGTGAACACGAGGAAACGAGAGAGTTTTCGACGACCGTGAAACCAGACTGTTCCGACATGTCTGCAAGGAGCGCGAACAACGAAATCCTTGGTCGTCTCTCGAGCAGGATACACGAGGCCCCTCTGAGTCCGACCGGATGGAGGTGGAACAGAGGGAGTCGCGTGGATGGCTCTCACGAGAGATCGGCATACTCGGTAGCGATGGCCAGTGGTGGGATCAAAGGTTCGATACACGCCGCTCCGTGAATAATTATTAACTCAAACACTTGTTCCGCTTTTTCTTCGTCGATACTTTCCACGACGCGATATTTATTTATGAGCTCGGCCCTTTGATACGGAGTACAACAGAGCTTTTATTTGATAAACCCAAAGTGTTGCGAATTAAATCCGACCAACTGTCGCACTTTCTCACCGCACTAAATTTCAAGTCTCTTTCTCCTCTGTCTATAATTATAACTTTCTCTCAGCCAATATACGTAAACACGCTCGTTATTCTATTTTTTTTTTTTTTCTCCATTTCCTGTCATTTTCCCTCTCCTCTTGCACACTTCGCAATGTCGTTTTATTCAACGCTGGAAGTAATACGAATTGTAAGATTCACTCGACTGCATCCAACATTTTGATTATTATTTGGATACGTGTTCTTATACGCGATATTCTTGATAAAAACTAATTTTCCAACTGCAGGGCTCCAAAGCACAGCCCCAGACCTGATTCTGCATTTCGTTTGAGCCGCCGGGGTTTCGCGAGGGATTTTATTTTCAAGGGAAAGGAGTGGCGGAATGATGTCATTTTCGCAGAGGAAAATAAATTTAACATCTTTCATTTGCATAGACGCGCCATGGTGTGCCGTAAACGAAACTCAGAACTTCAATGCCGGAGAAAAGTTACGACCTACTTTTAACAATTTTTTTTTTCTTGCCGCGTACGCAATTTTAATTGTCAAAGGGCTGACATCTCGGTGAAATGTCAAGAGATGAGCCTTCGTCGAAGATTGCAAATGATTTTCACTGTTTTCGCTGGAAGACGTTCGCGATGATTTCTATATAAAATTATAATTAAAATACAGATCTCACGGTGTGGTGGATATTTTTAAATCGTCGACGGGGTCAACGGCCCCGAAATCTTCGGTAAAAGTTACCAACGAATGAATATTTATGGGAAGGAAACAGAAAATTCTTCAAGCGTGCGAAATTTATACATTTTACTCTCGAAATATCCACCATGTCTACTCTAATTGCAAAGTTCGAATACTTTCGTTTGAGATTCGAGGTAAACAAGAAACCGAAATTGTGTCTCGAGCGTGTCGATCACAAGAGTTCGAGATCAACGATCGATGGTTTCGATCGAGGCGACCTCCGCGTCGTTCCGCTGGCGTAGTCGGTGCATCGTTAAAATATCGTACGCTTCGAGGAGAAAAATAAGACGGATGAACGAGACTGGAAGTAAGTGAACAAAAGGGGGGAGGAAAAAATGAACGAGAGGAGGAACCGGAGACGAAGACGTCGACCTACTGTCCTGCATTCCGCGCGGGAACCGACTATACCTGCCACGAGGAGGATCGTCGAGATCCACGTGATCGAAACCCAGAAACCACCTCGAGCACTTCCTTTCTCGATCCCCGACCTTTCTAGCCCCGTCTTCCGTCTTCGAGCGCGGCTTTCCGAGACGGCCATCTTTCCATCCACGGCAAACACTTTCTAGAAAAGTCCTCGAGTACCCTCGAAACTCCAACGGTGTTTACCGATTTATTTATGAGCGGGTCAACCCTTCGTTGAGCACACGAAACAAAAATGGCGCGGAAACTTTCGGAATTATTAAGTTAACAATGTCCCCTTGTTATTCGAACGTGGATACGACCAGCTTTGGTATTTATTTTCGCCGCGAATTCGACGAATTTCCCCACTGCGGGCTCCATCGTGCCTTCGAATCGTTATAAATATCTTTTTCGTTTCACAGGGTCCTGGATGGCGCGTTAATTGACTAGATTGGTCGAACACGCGGCAACTCGATCACTTGTTAATCGAACAATCCGGTCAGCGTATTATTAATTAATCAACGGCAAATTGCATTTATTCAAAGGTCGTTAATTAAATCTTCGTAAATATAACGTTTGATATATTTAATAATTCTTTGTGGCAAGTTTGACAAATTAAAAAAATTCTTTTTTAATATTAAATGGTTTGAAAAAATGGCATTTAAGTCGTACGTCTTTGGTGTTTGCGGAATTAAGCGGACGTTCCATCGTCGCGAGAGTAAACGCTTCCGGAGTGCGTAATCGCGACAACGTCGGCCCCGGGCGTGAATTGCTCCGCGACGCGGCGTGATTGATTGCTTAATTAATTAATTAACGATTACAATAACGTCTTGGATCCGTCCGTATGCAAAATTCAAGGGATTCGGCGAAACCGAGCTCGCGTTCACGAGCCAACCCGACATTAATTTCCTCGTCAGTGACAATTATGTCAAAGCCTCTCTGATAGAACCGCCGCTATCGCTGGAACCGAGTGTACAGTCGACGCGACGAGATCGATGAATGCTTGATTTCGGTCGTTAACGATCTAGTTACACAGAAAACTTGGTCGGGGGCGATTAATGGCAGCCAGGTAACGGAACTCGATTTCGTCTACAAAGCGATCATTACAGGTGGCAATCCTGTTAAAGGATCGTTTTGCAACCTCAAATAAGATTTTAATTTCGAAATTTAAATTTAAGCAGAAAATCGATGGTAAAATTTTCATTCGAGTTAAATTCATTCGAGTCTATAGTTTCGTGTGACGATAAATTGGTTTCTATTTTTTAATAGTATATTTCGGGGTATAGAAATTTCTCTCGATAGTATTATAGTTGAGTAAATTCAATTACAAAGCGGTAGAGAATTTTCGAGGATGGAATATACGAATCATGATGACAAAGTTTGGGAAACCGGCGGACGAGTATGAGATTAAGGGTTCCGGTTAAGCGTAGGCGTGGAATGGCCCGAAGTGGTCCCAGGCATCGTATTAACGTTATTGGGTTAACCCATAATTTTCATTTAGCCGGTCCTGGTACGTTGGTTAGCGACCCAGACCGCGCAGAACCGATCCATTTGCCATTAGAAACACAGTTCCAATTCTTCCTCCGTCGAAAGTACGGATCATCGTTGGTGAAACTTGCATTGTGACCCGACAATATATTCCGAAATTTCTAACTATTAGAATTACGCGTGCGAACGCAACGAAGACGTTGGTCTGAACAGTGGGGAACGTGGTCGTGCCAGGTGTCGGCGTTAATCGAATTTCAGACATGCACAAATTCACCATTTACACCGCAGTATGGCGTCCAAACTTCCTCGACCGAGAAATCCGTTCGTGGAATTTCGGGACATTTGGTTGTTTCATGTCTGTTCCACCATGTGTGCTCGACAAATAAGAATATTCTTTATGTATTTCGACGATATTATTTTTAAAATTCCGACCATCGACGTTCGGTCTTTTTTCGACTCAAATATTGTTTTACCGTACTCGATCTACTCCCGTAA